AGTAAATGTGTATGAATGCTGAACTGCAGGATTGCAGCCCTTAAGTACTGGAGTAGCTTTTACTCTTGTAAATGTTACACTCAGAACCTAACTTTATAAAATCATACTTATAAATGAATAAATATAGAATATTTGTACTCTATATTTTAGTCCATCTACTAAATATATTGTATACCCTGTTCTACTTCTATATTTTAAGAGAATCAGTGTTGTGTAGTTGTTAAGGTGTTGGAAAGTCCCAGCTCCAAGTCAAACCTCACCCATCAAAACTGGTTAGATGACTTCAGGGCAATCAGTTTCAATTCTCTCACCCCAAGTAACCTCACAGGGTTTTTGTTGGAGGAAAAATGGGAGGAATGAGTGCTTTGTATATTTTCTCAAACTCCTAGAGGAAAGGTAGAATGTAAACCTGACAAACAAACAAATGAATAAAATGCTGTGTTATTACAGTTATTATTACCTTCCCTTCCATGCAGGCAAAAGGAAGTGAGTGCAGCTCATACACTTTGTATGCATAAGATCCTGGACACAATTCTCCACATCTCCAACCAAAGCTGGAAAAATTGCTTGCCTGCACTGCTGCTAATCAGAGATGACAAGTCTGAATCTAATAGACGAATTGTCCCAGTATCCTATATTTCTTAGGGTCCATAGATTTACAAGGATGAGACAACTGGTGATATGATATATATTTTCCTGGTATGCTAGAGAATTACTTACAGTCAGAGTGGACAACCCTGGGCTAGCAGGGTTGACAGGCTGACATTCCTATCTTGATAACAAGGACAGGGTTGTTTCATTGCTGACTTCCATCCAGAAGCTGGCCACATGGTTCTAAAAACTGGATCCCTGGGTTAACAATGTGTCCATGTGTGTAGGGATAGCCTTTTGAGAAAGTATACATTTCTCTCATACTAACCAGTGTATGGAATTATAAAATTCTAGACCAGGTTTATCCAATCTGGCATCTTCCAAATGTATTGAACTCAATGCTCAGAACTGGCCAAAGAGATGGCCACAGGGATGGCACTAGGTCAGGAAAATCTGCTTTTGACAGCTTGCATCAATATCCTGTTTTGATTTTAGTATTTTTTTCCCTCCTCTTTTAGGAAGCAAAAAAACTTTAAATCAATTGAAATGCTGTTTAGATATTCTTTTAAGGCATTGGAAGAGATTCCTACTCCAGTTTTGTGAAGACAAAGATTTGTCTGGCTGTTATAGCATAAGAATCACATTCCCAGAAGAGGAAACATACAACAACATGCAAGAGACATGACTCAAAATCTAAAGCCAAACCCTTTTAAAGGTTGAAAGAAGTAAAGCAAATATACATCAAGAAGTTATGTGCCATTTCCCCAAAGAAAATAAACTAACTATTCAATGATGGTTCTGAAAGTAAAGAAACCAGAGATTTGTAATTTCCTTCAGAGGAGGCAGTGCTTCTAAATTTAAGCATGAAAGACTTGCCTGGGGGATGAATTGACATCTAAATGTGGAAAAATAAATATTACTTAAGGTTAATTTCTCTGACTGATGGGTTCCTGACCCAAAATAGAAATCTGGAATATTTGTTGAGATACTACCACTAACATGTAGTTCTTGATGAAAGTAACTTTTTTTTCTACGTTCTGTCATGCATTTTAGAGTTTGATACCCACTGATATTTCAGTACCCTAATAGGAATTATTAAAACTTTCTGACATGTACATTAAATCCTTTCATTTCCATTTTGTACACCAGCTTAGATTCTCTGCTGATAAAATTATTAGAGGTTTTCACATTCAAGGCTGAACTGCAGCTTTAGAGATCATGTGATAGAGACCTTCAGGAGGTTATTGATTGCTTCAGTTAATGAAGGGTAGGTGTCACACAGTTAAATAGCTGTTGCTTGGGTCAAGATAATCTAAAAAAAGAAAATTGTGGGGCAGATTTTTTTCATCCTTCTCCTAGAGGTATTTGTTATGACTTTCAGAAGAAAGTCTGATTTAAATTCATAATCTTAGTCTGGCATTTTGGATCAATGGTTCAGGATGGAATGTACATTTGAAATCTTTCAAAGTGTGCCACCATTTCCACATGAGGATCCTTCTCATTTTAAAACTGATCTAATTCTCTAATCCCACAACTCTGGCAGTTTTGGAGAGCTGAATAATTTATTTCTGATTGGTGTGATCAAAATGCAGTGAAGCTAGTATTTGTTTCTACAATACTTTGAAATATCTCCTAAATGGAAGGAATTTTGCCTTGCCCCTCCTCCTGACTCCAGAACTTCAGTTGCCTTGGTAGGTCTTGTAAGGGGAATGCTAATTTGACAGCTTCACATCACCCCCTCAATACATCCTCCAGGAGGAGTAAATTCAAAGCAATCTTGGTGATGAAATTGTTATATTATGTCAGTTTCCCTCTTCTTTTGAGCAGAGGACAACTGCCTACAAAATGCCAACCTACTTGGTTTTATGTTATACTTTCCCTTTGTCTAGAGTGGAGATGAAGGGAATTTTGTTGCTGAAAAATCCATGACACGTTGGAATAGAATAGTGATTTTCATATCTTATTCTCAGAGTTTCTGAGTCAGCAAGAGTGAAGATTCTGTTAATTTTCATGTTGAAGATTGCAAATGGAAATAGTGGTTGTGTGAAAATTTCTGATACAACCTCATCTTTCTGACTCAGTCAGCATTAATGGTTCTACACAGATTTGGAGAACAGCAACAAGTGGGGTTCTATGGGGATCTGTGTTGGGTTCAGTATTATTCAACATTTTTATTAATAATCTAATGGGATTAATGGATTGCTCATCGAATTTGTGGATTATGCAAAATTGGGAGGTCTGGCCAGGATGATAGAATGATATTGCTGTCTATATTAAACAGGCTGGAAGACTGGGCTTAAAGGAACATGGAACAAGATGTTATTTAACAGAGAGAAATGTAAGGTATTGCATTTAAGGAGGAAAAATATACTGCACATGAGATGGAGGATACATGTCTTGGAAGTATGAAGAACTTGGGTGTGATCAATCACTGACAACAGGCTGAACCTAAACCTGTATTTTGAGACAGCTGCTAGAATGGCTAACACAGTTCTGGTTGCATTAGAAGTAGGCACTCATCTAAGGCACATGAAGTTATTATTCCTCTCTACTCAGCACTGTTGAGACCACACCTGGAATACAGTGTAATTCTGTACATTACATTTCCAGAAGGATATTGGCAGGTTAGAGAGGGTTCAGAGGAGAGCAACCAAGGTAACACAGGGAGTTGAGAATATGCCTTATGAGGATGGGCTGAAGAAACTTGGGATGTTCATTCTGAAGAAAACAGGACTTAGGGGAGACAAGATAACTATGTTTACATACATAAAGGAAAGCTAGAGGAAAGACAGTCACACTCAGGAACGATTTTCCATGGTTAGAGAAATTTAGACCAAAAATAATGGTTCCAAGTTGCAGCTACCTAGATTTCATTGAAATATTCAAAAAATTCCTAGATAGTAAGATATGTACAACACTGGAACTCCTCTATCTATGAAGATTTGGATTATCCGTGAGTTTTCAAGAAAAGATTTGGCAGCCTCCTCCCTTATTCTCTACCTCTCTTGTTTTTTTTTAAAAATATGTTATATTTCTCACCCTCACTATTTTGGTTGCTTTGTTGATCTTATAGCAGCATTTGGTCTGTTGTGTAACTGCACTGTACAATTGTACCTTTGCATTGCTACATTGTTTGTTATTATCTTTGGTTATCACTGGATTCTTATTTTTGGTTATCCCTGGATCATAGCAAATGGTGTTCTCTCTCCCTATTGGGTTCTTCATGGCTGAATTTTTATACAGCCAACAACTACAGCGGACAATTTGATAACATGATATCACCAAACTAAGTGGGACTGACATTTCAGGTAGGGTTGAAAATTATAGTTATGGAGGAGGTGGGGGTGGGCTTTTATTGCCTATGTGAGTGTGGGTGTAAAAGAAAATTAAATGAAGTCTTAAATGTTTTTCATTTTAAATTTTCCAACTGTTGGCTGCACAATCTTGCCTTTTGGGATATTACAGTGTTACTTCAAGGTTTCAGCTTAGGCTATAGGCTGCTGCTGCATAACCAAATTGCAGGATAGATCTAATGTTCACAGTTCATGTTATGCTGGATATATAATCCCTGCCATTCCCTTTAGTATCCTAGCATGCTAGCTGGGAGTTTTAATTTGGTTACCAGTTAGCAAGAGGAAGAGGAAGAGGAAGAAGAGGAGGAAAAAGAAGAAGATAAATAGTTTATGTCTCATAAATTCCACCACCACCACAATCCATTTTGAAGACAGAAACTTTTCATTGGCCTGGCAATCTAGCACTCTTTGTAAGGAGTTACACCACACTGCTTCATCACCCTATGTCTTTGTTCTGGTTTTGTAAAACAAGTTAGGCTGGCATCAATGTGTTCATTGAAGAAGTCTAATTACATTTCAGTTCCTTGGAAAATGTGGAGAAATCTATTTCAAAGCAATAGTTAAAATACTTCCTTCCTAATACCTATTAGGAAACAATAGCTGGCTCTGGGTAAACGAATTAAAATCGTTTGAGAGTGGCCAGTGCCAGCCTTCATGAATGAATGATTAAAGAATAAAAAGTAATTAAGGAAGAAGAAAAAAGTAATTCAGTTTCATTTGTAAATGACCCAAGGAACATGCATGATTAAGAAAGAAATAAAAATCCAGCTCGTATAATAGTCAATTGGCTGAGATCAGCATTTGGAACATCAAAAGAAAAAGAAAGAAAAGGGGAAAAAGAGTATATTATTGAGTAAGAAAACACTTTGTGCAAAGATTTTAGACTACAGCTTTTCACACACACTCTGCCTGACACTCAAAATATTGTTCTACTAAGAATTCTTTTTAAAATGTTGAATTTCAGACAGTGCTGCCACAAGAATGCACTTCCCAACCAAGCCAAAATATGGAAACAAGTAGCATGTTTTAAACATTTTATTATAAAGGTTAGGAAATCATGTCCCCCATTTCTTCAAACAGATAAATAAACAGTAAATATCATACTTGTGGTTTATTTTTATTTTTTTACCTCCCCCCCTCCCCCTTTGCAATTCAGTCTGCACAGTAGCTTTCTGGATTTGGTGACTTTAAAAAAATGCCACTTTTGAGAAGCAGCACAATCTTTGGAGATAAATGAAGATTGTTGGAATGAGAGAAAAAGCAGCAGTTGGAAGGAACCACTGAGTAAAGAAAAGTTGGGTAAGTTAACCAGAAGAACACAACAAATTAACCCCTTAGGCAGGATTATGTAAATACATACAGATACATAAATACAAAAGATCTTCTTAAATTGAGCACTGTCCTGGTTACAAAGAACACTGTAATAGATCCTTGTTCTTTCATATTTTGTTTTAAAAATGTATGCTTGTTTTGTTCCCATACATGGAAAAGAGATGACTTTCATGGATTTAGAGGAAGGTTAGACCATTGTATTAGATACAACAGAAATTATTAATTAAAAATAATTAAAAAAGGCTCAGGCATTGGTTAAACCCAATCACGTTTTAATTTCAGAGCCATCAATCATGTACGTAATAGCAAAAGAATAATCAAAGATTTACCAGCTTGAGAAAACCAGAACCTCATCCTATATATCAGAAAGATAGAGTATAAAAAGATAAGTTACCAGATCATACAGTTTATCTAGTCCAGTATTATCAATTGTGACTGGCAGCTCAGGTAGGCATTTGAATCACTTGAATTGTTTCATGAACTTTCAGACATGAGATGCCAAGGACAGGACTTAGAACTTCTGCATGCCAAGCATACGGCCCACCACTGAACTATAGTCTCTCTCCACGGACTGAAATCTGCATGAATTAATGGTGGGTGAAGAAACACTGCTGAATTTTTTCCCAACCAGTTCTCATTTGCTCTGATGCTTCAGAATTTTTTCACAGAAGAGAATTTTTAAAAAAATTCTCATGGGTGGAATTTGGCATCTCTGCCCTTATTACACAGTGGCCAAGAGGTGTGTATGTGAATGTCCTTTTTTCCCCCTATATAATCATCTTTCCAGCAGTTTGTAGCCTCCCTGACTTCCTGTATTTCTATTAAATTTTAGGGGAAGGCATTGTGAGTTAATTCCTCCCACTAGACTCTTTCAGCAGTAGATGATGGGAAGTCCTGCCTTTGAGAAATTGTTGAAACATTTATCTTTCCCAAGGAGAAATTAAGATTTTCTTCCCATGCAATGAATTTATCTGCAATAAATGTTCTTTACTTAGTGTGTGCAAATGATATAATTTGCTTAGTGACATGAATGCACATCCTTTTTCACAACACATCAACACTTGAAATAGAACCATAAGAGTTCCAGGTGCGTAGTTTCCCATTTAATTTCAATGAAAAGACCAAATGCATAAGAGCTCTAAATTATAATTCTGTATTTTGCTTATGGTAAGCCTCTTTATGTTGAGGAAGTATATAGAGGCACGTACGTATATGTTGCTGAATCAACACATTTATATAATCCTCCCAAGAAAAATGGAATACAGATAAAAAAAAGTAGTATCGTGATTATATGTAAATGATCAGCACACATGTGACATATAAATGATGTACCACAGCCTACTGGCAAAGTCTATGCTTGTCTGAAACCATAAAAATAGGAGTGAGATGAGTCAATGGTTTGATTCAGCTTCCAATGTTCCTCTAACACAGTGTTTCTCAACTTTGACAACTGGGGAATTGCTGGCTGGAGAATTCTGGGAGTTGAAGTCCACACATCTTCAAGTTGCCAAGGCTGAAAAACACTGCTCTAATATTATACATACAGTGATGTGTCTAATGTTAGACATACATAGGAAGCTGAAATATCAGTGAAGAGGCTTATCACCTGGGCCAAATATCTGAACTAGTTTTCAGCATTCATTAGAATGCACATGGAATTTTGGATATGCTTGTGCGGGAAACAAGTTAAGTAGAGAAAACAGTAACTCACATTCTTAGAACCTTCTGAAGTCAAGACTGTGCATATCATCTAGGTCACGATCCAGGGAACTACACTTCAGACCTACTCATATTAAATAGGAGCCTTCTTTTCTCATTTAATTTAATCCACTCAAATATAACTACTTTCCACTCATGGCATTTACAATCTGTAACCATCATTTCTTTCTTATCTTGTATTCGTTAATTTCCAGCCCACTGTCCACAGGTAAATGAAGGACAGGAAAGACCTTGTAGTTTTCTGTTCAACTCTGTCAAATGAAGGATGAATTACAGATATGAAAGTTTATCAGTTTAGTGGTAACATTTACATGTACATATGCCTACCAGCAACACTGTTTGATAAACCCAATCCAGTTAACATATGGTTATGCTATTTGCATATTTTCTGTATCTGTGTAATTTAAGAAGAAAACCCATGTACAAATAACCTTGATTTTGCCTTTTTAAAAAAGGGCTCTGCTTTTTCTTCTTTTTCATATGATATTCACCCTGCAATGTCGTATGAAGTGAAGCAAAGCTGGAGCAGTCAGAAAGAAAAACCTATGATTCCTTTTGTTATCATGCTATCAATTATAGGTGAAGGATTTGGCGAATTATCTGGATTGCCACCTTTCAGCCTAGCCACACAGGTCAACTGACAATTCTCTGCACATTGCTCTTATCATTTTCTGTCCGTCTTGAGTCATTGTCTCTTTAGAAGGAGAATATTTCATGTTTGAAACGGGCTTAATGAGAAATGACTCCTACATGTTATATTGATCTGGTATTAAAGAGAAGTTTTCCGTCTAAATCATGCTTGCTGATGTCAGGTTGAGAGGTCCTACTTGCATTTTTAAGGGACTACAAATAAATAGCAGCTGTGCTTCTGCATAGATTTCATACCATGTTTGTGATGGACAAATGTCTTCTCCCATCTATTTCTGCTTTTCAAAACGCCATCTGGTTTGCATGTCCTATATTTTAAAAATTCCTCTTGATCAAAGCAAAAAACAACAAAAAAGAACAAAAAAAAAGGCTTTGGCTAAAAGATCCCAGTTTATTTGTGGCAACTGAACCTTAATGTTGTCCACTGAATAGCCACAAAAGCTATTTTTTCTTGTCCATAAACCACATTTTCACCTGTCCCTGTTTATATACTGCAGCCAGTGAAATGAGATCTGACAAAGGCTGGGATGTTGGCATTTGGTACTTTCAGGGAGTTCCCACCTTCTGCTTCTGAAGATTATACAAGATGTCCTTCAGAATATGGCCACTATCCTGTTGGCTCTTTAAAAGTCCAAGGGACGGATCATCATAGTTGTGGAACGTAACGAATAACTTGGGCCTTTGAAGTAATGCCATTTGATCCCATTTATTTTTCCATGGTGCTGCCCAGCCGAATAAAACATCCCATTAAGATTGGAAGGGCCACAGGCATCAAACCACCAGCCTGAAAACATTAAGAACAAAACAGTTAGACCCATATACTGATGAACCACACTCCCTTTGTTTGCAACGTGCAGCTGATGGGCAAATGTACGGTAACTCTCTGGTGAATGCAAGGGCTTTAGCTTTTTTTAAGCAAGCATACAAAAATAATTTGAGGCTTGGTTAGGAGGAATCACACCATTCTTTTTGTGTGCTTGGAAGCTTGGGGCTGATGTTTAAAACTAGAGAACTTTCCCAAAACAAAGCAAAGCAAAACAAAACACCATGGAACAACTCCCAATGCTAAATATGAACTCGTCTTATAAGCAAAGGAACTCTATCTTTCACAATGTGGCACATGGATTCTGTTCTTGAAAAGAAAAGGGGGAAAAACAACAGCAATCAAGGCCAAACATTTCAATGGATACAAACCCTATTTGCAGCCATTTGGCTCTTGTATATTTTGGGGCCTTGTCTGTAGCCTTTAAACCAGATCCCATACCAGGTTACAGGTGGGTGGAACTATGTAAATCCAGACATTTTAGCTGTCCACTTTGCAGCATAGATTTCCAGCTGATGAATTTCTCTACCAGTTATTAAAGCTAAAATCCACCAAAAAGCTATCTGACCATTTAGTGGCATTTACTAGCCCCTTTTCCAGAATTAGCCTCCCATAGTCAGTTAACTAATCATTCTAAACCAATAGCTCATAATACCAGATAATAGATCAGTCATTTTTTAGACCTACTGGCCATCACAAAGGCAATTTTTTCCTGTCAGTTTCTTACTGTCTTTTTAAAAATTCCTCTTCCCAGTGGTGGGGGGCAAAAAAATAGTCCAAGGTCAGCACCATCACAGACAGATTCTACATTTTGCCCTTTTTTCAGATGCTCCTGTATGCTAGTGGGTTGGCACTTAAAACAAGCATAGAGAAAGAATGCCTAGAAGAGCCTAATTTCTCATGGTTTCTCCAGGTCTTCATCTCTATCATTAGGGGAATATCTGACACTAGGGTTGGATGGGGATGGAGGCGTTTATTGATCGGGTACAGTGAATTTAACCCCAGATATGTTCTGAGTTAAATTCAAGTTTGAATTTTATTGATCCAGCTGATGCCATTTTGATGTTCTCACACTAACCATCCAACTAACCCAATTAAGCATGGTGTGGGAATAGGGCCACTATGTTTGAATGTAAGAGAGGTTGGATGAATTGAGGTTCATTTTCCTACTCTTAAATTTAAGAATTCCATGAATGTTTAAAGCAGTAATATTTTTTTCTTTTGCTTTCTGAAAAGTCCATAAAATATCTTCTGGCTACCATATTCAATTCAGGGTAAATATAACCCCTCCTGTTCCAATGATCCTTGTGGATTTGTATAAACAAAAGATTAATGCTGGACATACTTAGTTCTTCCTGGCTTTTACCTGACCAAGCGTTCCTCTGAAACAAAACCCCGAAATTTGCTCCCAGCAGAATCTATATATTATCAGAAGAGTACCTTCAGTGCTTCCCTTTATTTCATTTTTTGAACACCTATTTTTTTTATAGCATTTGTGGTAATTTCAAACTTCAACATAAAAGTCGCATGCAAGATTTGTTGCCATGAACTGCAGCTGTGGATCGGCAAGTCTGCCTTTCATCATATCATATCATATCATTTTTTTTTAATCTGTTCATTTGTGTCCAATTCTCAGAGACTGCCTGGACAAGTCCCTGAAGTTTTCTTGGCAAAGTTTTTCAGAAGTGGTTTACCATTGCCTCCTTTCTAGGGCTGAGAGAAAGTGACTGGCCCAAGGTTACCCAGCTGGCTTTGTGCCTAGAGGGGATTAGAACTCATGGTCTCCTGGTTTCTAGCCTGGTGCCTTAACCACTACACCAAACTGGCTCT